ACATGTGCGTTAACGGGATTCCATATGCATTGTTTAGCATCGTGCTGACAACAACCACTCAGAAAAACAACAAAATTACGAAATTATTCAACATTACGAAAATGCCACGCCTGTCCGAAAATGAGGGAGTGAGTGAGTGAGTATGGTTTTACGCCACTTTTAGCAATATTCCAGCAATATCACGGCGGGGGACACCAGAAATGGGCTTCACACATTGAACCCATGTCGGGAATCGAACCCGTTTTTTCGGCGTGACGAGCGAACGCTTTAATCACCAGACTACCCGACCGCCCCTGTCCGAAAAAGAGCGTCTGTGAGCCATTGGTATGCTTGAAGCAGGATCGAGTCAACGTGATATTCCAAGATAATTTAACGTCCACAGAAACACCATTTGATGTTTATGGCAACGTTGGCAACAGACGAATGCAGTCAGAGACCATCCTCGGAGCGGCAGACCATGCGTAACCAATAATAGACAAGACAACTGGATTCGAACAACACACCTACGAAATCGATTCCAGCCAGCAACAGTGACTGCAAGAAGCATCCCTGGCCTTCGACGAATATCTTCACAAACCGTACGTCGTCGCCTCAGATGTGCAGGGATTGTCGCCAGAAGACCCGCCAGACGTCCCTTTTAGACAGGAAACCACCGTCAAGCACGTCTACAGTGGTGCAGACACCGTCTACGCTGGACGGCCATGCAGTGGGGACAAGTTCTATTCAGTGACGAGTCTCGTTTTCACCTCAGCCACAGCGATGGACGGATTCGAGTGTACCGACGTCGAGGTGAACGTTACGTCAATCATTGTGTCATCGAAGAAGATCGGTTCGGGGGCGGCAGCGTTATGGTATGGGGTGGGATTACAGCAAGACAGAGGACCCGTTATATAGTGGTAGAGGGAAATCTCAATGGACGGCGCTACCGCGACGAGATCATCGGCCCTGTTGTTCTAACGTTTTTGCGTCGTCATGGTCCAGGCATTACCTTTTAACATGACAACGCCAGCCCCCTTATTGCTCGACTTGTTCAGGATTCTCTTCAACAAAACAACGTGAATGTCCTCCTCTGGCCAATGGAGCACATGTGGAATGAGATGGATCGGCGCCTTCGACGTCAACCACGTGTTCCACAGACACTCCAGGAACATCGAAACATGCTCCAGCAGATATGGACAGATATCCCACAGGACTTTGTGCGACGCCTGGTCCATTCCATGAGATGAAGATGTGTTGCTTGCATCGCAACCAGAGACACACACGCTACTGATTTGTAAATTGACATTTTGGCATGTTCATGTTGGTTGTTTTTTTTAAATCACGCATTTTCTGAAGTCAGTACGGCAAATTAAACCATTTGAACACTTACAGGAGTCTTTTATCTGTTGCAAACCGAAATTGTTTCAGATTTGGTAAAAAAACACAAATTTACATTAAATCTTATTCAATGTCACGGGAACTTTTGTTGTTCAGTATACATAAGTGCAATAATCTTGAACGTGACGCTAAAAGCCATTTCACCTCACCTCACTACCGTTCATTGCACATGTAGTTTAGCTTCTTCAACTAATACGGACAACAACTGTTATTATACTTCACAACCTCTAATATTCTAAGTAAGCTCTACAGACGGATGTTAGTATTCGTCGTAGCGTAATCTATATCTATGGATTTCGTAAAATCACAGTAATTGTATCTCCCAGTAAGTTATCTTGATTGAAGCGTGTTTTGCCAAGAGGTAATCTATAGCAGCGGGGGATCACATGCCAATAATTGAAACTCGTCGAATCTATAGTGTTGTCATCAGGCACTCCATTCCAGGTAACGATGAGAATGCTATTCCACAAATTATCCCCACCTTCATAGTAACTTGAGCTATTCCATGGCCTATACTCTACGTATTAATATCCACAGTTACAATTTTGAAGAAATGTGTACATCACATTCTCGATGACCCACGCAAAAGAGCACACACCACTGGCAGACAGGGACTTTCCTTCCACAATTACCAGATTATGTTTTTTTTAAGTATCCCGTTTTGTTTTTGTGCGGTAGCATTTGGAATGTAGCACGTACAATTTACCTACTTCCTCCTCATTTGTAACGAATCTTCTCATCAAATATTGATACTGAGCTTGTCGAGGTGTAAGCACAATTGTGTTTAGCGCAGTTAATTAGATAATGTCCAGGGAATGCCAACACGCAGTGATTATATATCATGCTTCTGACAATTTAATTATCACTTTTATAACCGTTTTCCACAAAATATCAATACGGCGTATTTATATTTGCAGTGAATGTTGTTTTTTCGAAAGAAATGTCAATCGAGTAATTAACATATTTAAACGTGCTATTCAGATATTGCATTACCTTGTAAAAAGAGCATAATTGAATAAGAAAAACTTCATTTGTGAAATGAATTGGAAATTTGAAACCAGGTCGTCGTTGACATATATACCCACGATTTAATCAGCTTCTTAAAATGTCGAGGTGATTCAGATAGGCCACATATTAATACTGGTAAATAGTTGGAAAATCCAAGCGAATATGTTTAGCACAGAACATTTGTGTTTAATCATGGTTTGATCTTCATATTTTATATATTTTTGGTAATGACTTTAGTCTACTTGGGTTACGTAGATTGTGTTACTTTCTTAAGGTCCCCCAATCTCCGCCCTGACGCTGCACACATGTAGCACGTTCGTTAATATCTACATGTGTTTAAATGGGAGCGTGAAATTAATACTTCTTTCGAACCTGTGAATATTTCATGGTAAATTATGACTGTAACTGTACTTGCTCTGATCAAGTTCCCCGCTGTATGGATCTATAACCCACCGGAACCACAGCCACGATTTGAATGCTCCGCACGAAATGGTGGGTTGTTGATGAAAATAAAATGTTGACATGCATGCGGGTGTGCGAGGGCGGCGTATGTGTCGGCAGAGACCAAGCGTATTTCCTTCCATGGCTCTTAATATCAGATGCCACCCATACAAATGAACATCATCTCATATGGTCATCATCCCGTAACCCTTCAGTCAATATTGCCCATTGCAAATAGGGTCATCACGAACTGACAGATATAATCTAGCCTACACGGAGACACTGCTTGGTGGACGCGGTATAAATACTAAATGTACGATGTACTAATATGCCGCCTCTGTAACGTTAATTTGACATCGCAAGAGTTAGTGAGTGAGATAAACTTTTTACATCGCATCGGCAATATTGCAGCTATATCGCGATGAGAACAAGGTAGTTACTATAATTTAAGACCTGTCGACGGAAGGACAGTAAAATAGTAAGGTAATATCACAGTTTAGATATAAAACAAACCTAAGCAACGATAAAACAAAGAATGTATCAGTAGATTAGTTCCTATAAATATAAAACCAGGCTATAGACCACTAGCAACCAAAGCTAGACCACCTAACTGGGAATCATGAGGACTTACAGTGCTTTTGCTTCCTGCATGACTCCCGGCAGGATTTATGCCATCACTTTGGTCACCAGTGGTTGTGTGTAATACTAACCAATATCAAAAATAGAAGCACAATCAATACATTAAAACACTAGTTGATATTAATCACTTCAACATAGATGGACTCACGTGCCACTGTCAATGGACAATAATTTTACACTACGTTAACCCCCTGAGTGGCTCAGCCTTCAATCGTCTCAGTTTTTGATAATATCACACTATCTTAAAACAATTCAAAAATCAAAATTTATCAAATAATTCTATTTCTTTTAAAAAATCGAGAATTAAACGAGTATTGACATTGATAGAAGATCCTTCAAAGACGTTGAATGATAATAGTTATCCCTTGTGAGAGAAAAGTCCATACAGTCAAGCAAAATATGCTTGACTGTAATTCTCTCATCACAAGGGACACAAAACGGAGACATCGCAAGAGAAACCAGGAAACTATAAACTTTATATAAACACTGTTGTCGTTTAGAGTTAAATGGCAACATAACTACCACTGCCGAAGACGTATCTAGACTGCAGATGAGCTGACTGTACTGGACTTATGGTTTGCCAGCAAACATATATTTTATTTTAAAATAAGTCTATTACTGTATTGTTATTACTGTATTCTTTTGTTGACTTATAATGCATGTGTTGGGTAGATGTTTTGAATCTATCTCCTAAAAGGCAAATAATACCAAGGATGTATCGTACGTTTAAGACCTTCCACTTGATTCAAGCTTGGTCAAACGACAACGTTGAATGTCCTGAGTTACTCGGCATAACATCAGTCCTAACCATTCTTTAGAACAAAATGTGTCAAAGAAATGGAATGTCTGTTTATTTTACAAGAAACACTACAAAGATCCAGATTTCTTCGGGACAATGGGTATTCAGCAGATCATGTGATTCCCAGGGAACCACATCTTTACTCCAGCATGTCAGCTGTGTTTCATATTTAGTCTGTATTAGATACCTCGTCCAACACGTGGTAGCAGTTTACAGTTTTGCTCGTATTGATCAGGTTAAACGACAAAACGCATAGTTGTAACGGTGTTGTTTTCATGTGAAACAACAACAATTGGTGCACTACTTGCCATGTACAGGTCAAATGTTCGTGTTGATGGTTTCAAAGCAAAAGTTGATAATTAAAATAATATTGTAATCAATGAGACGCCATACATAATCTTAAGATGCATCATGCATTAACTTGTCAACACAGGAACTAAGGTCATGAAGTTCTAGTGTTCGTCTATATTTGATATCAGTTGTATGCAGGTAATATTACCACACAAACAGTCATGCTCACACGCTGAGCATACAAAACCCACGCTACGTCGTTCTTACAACACGTGAAACCTACGTGCGTTTTGTCGTACTTTAATAATTCCATTGACATTATGGTAATAATCAAAAAACCTCACGGCACTGCATCTCTACGCCGTTTGGGGGACTGTATCTCGTCACTCAAGTCTTTTCCCCAGAACTACACAAAATGTACAAGTGTTAAAAATAAGTTACTTACCTAATTCGAAAGCCACACAGAGGTGACACACGGTCATGAGGATCTCTACATCTACCATGGTGCCCAGAAGTACTCCTAGATCCATGAGAGAGTGCTCACCACATGTCTTACTCCAACAAGTAGGTGATATTAACAGTTGGACCAGTAGTAACAGGTCCACAAGTAAACATCCTCTTTCCTATTGTGAATCGCTAAGTAAAATGAAGAAGCTATGCCTATGCGGTCTTAACTTTGTCGATCCATAAAACCCAATAAATAGAGTGAGTAGCGTTAATGAGTCATTACACAACTATAGAGAGCGATAACTGACGGTAGCCGAACATGTTCAACAACAACGCGCTCGTTCTCTCACATCCCTTCACTAATGAGACACGTGGGCTGTGGGGAAACGTTGAGCGATCCTGTAAGTCAGCTACCAATAACACATGGTTAGAGGCCCGCCTCAGTCAGATCTCCGGCGATTCAGGCACCGCCCCCTGGAGTCTTGACAATGATGGAAAAGGAAGCATGTACCAATGAGGAACTAAAACTGCGAGGTCCTAGATTACACTTTTCAGTAAAAGTCTCTTGCTGAATAATGCATTGCTTCCTTGTTTCTACACAGAAACAAAAAGTCCGGGACATCTCAGCTGATCGATGCAGTGAGATTGTTAGACATTGTCACTGCCTTGCTAGGCTAATTACCCAACTTCCGATGGTGGGTCTCTGATGTGTTTAAGCTTTAAGGATGCGGCTATTATCTTTCTGCTCTCTCCCTCTGACTCCGTGGCGCGTGCCTGCTTTACCCTTCGTCCCTTCATTTCAAATCCTTTTCCTGGCGCGTGTTGTCCTCTTTCGGAGGTTTTTGCTCCTCTCCATCCTATTCCCCACACATCGGGCGATATTCAATTGGCAGAAAGACTACTATTTTCAAATGACTGAAAACCTTTTATCTCTGGTTATTTCCGTTAGATGGCAAAAGAAAATGAGGACATCGACAAGTAGGGCTAAGGAAAAGCTCATGAAATTCTCTTTAATCTGTTCAATTAGATCTGATCTCGAGTTCGCTATATAGATAGGTCATAGCTGTTACTTTTCCCTATAGTGTTGAACGCGACGTCAAACCCAATTTCACCTCACATCACCCAAAAGTGTTGTTGTGATATTCGTTTTGGCATGAAAGGACATGAAAGTTATTGTTACGAGCAAACTACATATTTAACTACAACAAAAGATCATATTCGTCTATACACGAAAAGCGTTTCGTTTAATAAATTACACGTGTAATAACCAGGTCCTCAGGTTACATGAAAACTACCAGACTCAACTCTCAGACTCAACTCTCACCAAGAAATGTAATATTAAAGTGAGACACCAGGTGTTCACGAAATGGAACATGATTCAGCCTCTCGTCGGTACCTTTATTAAGTTTGGATTTGATTCGAAGAATGTTAAAATTAAACAAGTAGTTAGTGTTCAAGGATGCGTTGATGACATTTTGAAATTGTACCAAATCTCTTATGATATAGTGAATGACTGTCCATAGACCACCAGCGATATCATATAGTATTCAAGCGTCAAGAGTTGTGACATAAGTTCACAAAAGTTTCAATTCTACCACAAATTTCCCCAAGGCATTTTGCAAACAATACAGACGAGTGCATTTTGTAACACAGTTCAATGATATTTTCGAATCCTTCCATTTGTTTATTACGTCATAACATGCACAGCAGTAGATACCCTTTCACGCAGAAATGTGACGAATGACATCGCCAAAGCTAGTCATTCGAGTACCATGACATATCTTTTAAGGAGTCTATCTTTTATAGTGAACAGTATTTTCGGGATCCTATTGTATTGTTTCAAATTTTATTACAAATGTTGTAAAAACAAATTCTAAGTTTCTCTTAAAGAGCGATGATTGGTTAGTTAATTATTTATTGCTATCGTAATTTACATTTTATTTCATTTTTAATTGTACCGATAATCCTCATCATTATGTCATGGAGGAAGTGTGTGGATATTTTCTTCGGTGGGCCAGTTTAGTTTGATCTAAATTTGCCAAGGTGTTTTGTAATATATATATAACACAACACAAACACAAAGATCTTATCCGATCTGGGTGGATTTTTATAGGGCAAGTAATGGGGGGAACACATGAGCATTTCAATTCGCACGGAACTCAGGTGCATCGGTTACCATGGCCGTTGCCGTGATCCGTTTGGGCGATCGGTTGTATGTCATCTGCTTGGTTTGTTATCAACAAATTTCATTTTTTCCGGATGTATATACTTAACTTAACACACATTACTTAACACCCATGTCCTGTCTACACAAAGACGTGGAAAGTGACATTGTCTTCGTGACATTGTCTCTATGGGTATTTTTGGATGGCTTGAACCAAACTCACTTTGATGGTCAATTGGTCAGCGCCTAACGCTCTTTTCAACCCCACATACGTAATACTTCCTACACAAATGAAATTGACGAATCCAAGACTGAGGTGGTTGTTCTGTTTACGTCTGTAAAGTCGTCCGAGTGTATCGACTGCAGGGGTCGGTCATGTTTGTAGGGTATGCCCGCGAGAGTCGGGTGAAGGTCAGCGTTAAATGTCTAAGCCGGAGGGAGTGCCGTAAACAATTCAAGCATTTGGAAATAATCATGAACAAATCTATTGTTATCTTTCTGTCAGGATATTGAAAACGAACCAAGAAACAAGTGGTTAATTTCATCCTAAAGAAGGAATTGGGTTGACCAAGAGGGTTGTGAAACCAAGCAAACATTGATCAACAACATTTCGGCAGGTTATATATTTAGCAAAGCAATAAATAATATAAACAAAACAGTTCAACAGGCTAACAGACAGACGCCAAATATGACGCAATGTCTTGCGGTGCTTTTAGGAGCATATATCACCATTATCGTACGTGTTTAACTTCTTTTCCATGGCATATAAAATCTTACTATTGGTCCTCTGTGACAACAGTCATGAGCATGAAATTATAAATGCATCAGACATCAGAAGAATGTTAATCGCCTCTGGATATAATCGCTCACATCTTTAAATACCCCTGCACATATGGAGTCTACATCCGACGTGAAACTGTGTACTATTCCTGATAAGGAACACCTAAGCGTTTTATCCAAGAGTAAACTTAAAGAACCAGTTTTAGAATTGTGAAGCAAAGGTTTCATTACCGGGTATAAGAGGTGTTCTTAAAACCTGAACAAATGTTTGTGGAACGGTTCAAGATCTTGGCTCACGACATCAAAAGGGTAGTTTACGGCTATCCAAATACCCATTGCCGCAATTCCCCCTGAAGACTAGACATTTGGCCTAGGGATCACATGTTGTGTCTAAAATATCGACATGGGCAAATCGCAGAGAAAATCAATACTTCATTATCATTATAACTCGATTGAGTAATACAATTGACTTGTAATTGGTCGCTTAAGGTATTTCTGTTGGACGAGTGGTCATTTTCTATTGACGTTGAGAGCCGGGAAGAGCAATTTAAGACATCTGGACAAACAAACAAGCTTACATGATAGTCCAACGGTTACGATCAAAGCCAGAATGGTGTCCCTTGGTAGTTTCAGCGAATGGCCAGGATACAGCAGCTCCGGTACAAATGATTTATTATGTAATATATGTTCCAATTGTTTCATTGGTTGTGCCTGCTGTGAGTATTTAGCCGGTGATTGTTCTTGAATTAATTGAAATATTTATAAGCTGGGCAAGTCATTTTCAATTATGATATTAAGCTCCACATTATTTGGCGCAAATGTATTGTCTAAATGTTTCATTTGATATCTTGGCATTCTAGCCAATAATACAATTTTATTTTAAAAGAATAATTTAGAATGTCACTGCTCTTGTTTCTCTTGCTTTATATTAATTACTCGTGAGGTATTTCTGCTGATCTGGTCACAAACACAAGTGGTATCTGACTCATTTGGCATATGACGAACACCCCGTTACTTTGACACTGATGTTCATAGAATGATGTGCATCCAGATACAACATTCGGAACAGGTACTGGAAGATACATTAATTGATGAGTCGTCATTAAGGTCTGCACGCTGTCCCTGGTGCTTGGCTTCTATGTATAATGTGAATGTAATACGAACGAAAGGGGATTGAAATAATCATTGATTATTTAAACACTGCCATGTTCATGCGTATTCTTTAATGCAGTTTTATGGCTAAAGAACGATGATAGAAAATGCCAAAAAGCTCCATTTTCAAAAACAAACGTAATTTCATGCAATTAAACTCGAGCTAAATGCTCAGACTCACCATCAATTCTATAGAAGTAATGTCATAAATATATAAAAGTATAATAATATGAAGTATGATTAACAATAAAACAATAAGTGATTTAGCAATTGATATGTACATTAAATACACCCCTATCATATTAAAGAGAGCGTTATTCTTGCAGTTGTAAGTACACTAAGTCTATATGATGCATCTTGTTGGCGCATATTTGACTTTTCAATTTGATCAACTCAGGCATATTCCAAATTGCATTGACAAAATAAATAAAGGAAAAAGATTTTATTTCATGATATGACTATATATATATATATATATATATATATATATATATATATATATATATCCTCGTTGTCTTAAACCGTGGCATACTTTAAAGGGCTTGTTCTATCTGACTGATCACTTCCTCATACTACATGACACTTCCGCGTGGTGATACAAAGTCTGCAATGACAAATGATCACTTCATCAAAGTTCAAAAGCCCAACTCAACCATTCACCTATCACGCAAAACTCCTCAAAGGTTCTAATTCAACAGACATTCCCTGCATGTACTCCAGAATCCCCCATACAGCAATAATTACCTACACGTAACTAGTTCCTTGCTTACCCCTAGGCTCTCCCACCAGAGACACGGGAATCCTAATAACTGAGAACATCAGTTCCATAACGTCACGGAACGTCAGAATCCCGGATTTAATTGGCTAATTACTTGTTTCTGTAATATGTTCAGGGGTTATTGACTAGTTTCTGTGTTCCTAGGTCTTCTCTTGGTGTCTTGATTTAGTCCTACAACATACTACTCGAATCAATAGTAATTACTGCCTAAAACAATACCCCGCTCTGCTCTTAAGAACGTCTTTCTTTGTAGACGTAAGCTTTTGTGTCTAGACGTTGAGTGTGATCACACGTTAACTAACCAGAAACTGCAGAAACAGTGTCTACATTAACGACTTTAACTCGTAGAACAGTGTTGTGTTTGATTTGCTGATCAGGAGCTCTGTCATTGTAAAATCCATACATACATGTTCATGAATATCTGAATGTGTAGGAATATCTGTACGTTCCATTATTCTAATTCAAAGTCGTATTGTTTTCTGTATTGTTGTTACTTGAATACGCTCATGCGTCGCAAATTCAAGCTTATTTTGCAA